CCCCAACCAACAGCACAACGCCCCAACCAACAGCACAACGCCCCAACCAACGCACAACGCCACAACCAACAGCACAACTCCCCAACCAACGCACAACGCCCCAACCAACCAACGCACAACGCCCCAACCAACGCACAAAGCCCCAACCAACGCGCAACCCCCCAACCAACGCACAACGCCCCAACCAACGCACAACGCCCCAACCAACGCACGACGCCCCAACCAACGCACAGCGCCCCCACCAACGCACAGCGCCCCAACAACCAACAGCACACTAACAGCACAACACCCCAACCAACAGCACAACGCGCCAACCAACACAACGCCTCAACCATGCAACGCACAACGCCCCAACCAACAGCACAACGCCCCAACCAACGCACAACCCAACCAACGCACAACGCCCCAACCAACGCACAACGCCCCAACCATGCAACGCACAACGCCCCAACCCTGCAACGCACAACGCCCCAACCAACAGCACAACGCCCCAACCAACGCACAACGCGCCAACCAACACAACGCCCCAACACAACGCCCCAACATGCAACACACAACCCAACCAACGCACAACGCCCCAACCATGCAACGCACAACCCCCCAACCCAACGCACAACGCCCCAACCAACAGCACAACGCCCCAACCAACGCACAACGCCCCAACCAACGCACAACGCCCCAACCAACAGCACCACGCACCAACCAACAGCACAACGCCCCAACCAACAGCACAACGCCCCAACCAACAGCATAACGCCCCAACCAACAGCACAACGCCCCAACTACAGCACAACGCCCCAACCAACTCACAACGCCCCAACGAACATGCAGCACAACGCCCCAACCAACAGCACAACGCCCCAACCAACATCACCACGCCCCAACCAACAGCACGACGCCCCAACCAACGCACAACAGCAAGGCGGACCCCTCATGCTGGCACTTATGCGCTCACCCAGCACGCCAATGGGCGGAGGCGTTTGGGTCGGGGCGTGGAGCTCGCCGCCTGAACGCCAAGGACTAGTCGTGCTCGGCGCTCCCCTCGGATCCGCGGCATTTGTGCGACATCAGCTGCAAGAAAAAACGCTGCCAGCAGAACACCCTGCTGCAGCGCATCCCGGCCCTCGCCGACTTGCAGTTGGCCTGGCTACTCCTGTTGTCTTGCGCCTCCACTCGTGCAAATTATTATCTTCGCCGTTTGCTTCCCCCAGACTGCACCACGGAGTATGCTCGGGAGCGTGATCGGGCTGTTGAGGCTTGCCTCAGCACGCTGCTCACGGCGACATTGCCTCGCCCCTGCTGGCCGCAGCCGCTTCTGGCGAGCTTGAACTCTCCGCAAGCCGGCATGCACCTTGCCCTTGCAGCGGCGTGCTCAGCTGCCGCCAGGGTCGGCTGGGCAAGTTTCCCCACTCCAGTTAGGGGTGAGACTTCTGCTGCACCGGCGACCCAGCAAGCTCAGGCCGCGGAAGGAACTTTGCATGGGTGGCAACGTGCTGCCACTTCCGCTTGTGATGAGCGCGCCTTCGAGACGCACCTTGATCCCGCGTCTTGCTTGCTGCTGCTCTCGCAAGCAGGACCTCATGCGGCCCGTGCCTTCACGGCGCTCCCCAGGTCTCCACCAGTCGTCGTGCCATCGGCACGCACGTCCGCATCCTGCCGCTCCGACGCCTCCGGCTCCCCGTCTGCCTTGCGCTCCGCGCATATGCTCCTGCCGCGGGCGCCTGGTTCCCGCTTGGTGATCACCGCTCGGCCTGTGCCACGTCCGGATTCCTTGCCGCCCGGGCCCTTCCGCTAGAGCATGCGGTTGCTCGCGTGTGTCGCGGGGTCGGGGCGCGGGCAGCGCGGAACGTTCGAGAAACTGACATGAACATCGATGAGCCTGTCAGCGATTTGGAGGTCGCCAATGGTTTGCCCATGATGCCACGATAGTCAGCACAGTCACCCGGTCCGGTTCCGCACGGCACCCGCCCCACAGCTGCCGTGCAGCCCGACGCAAACGGCACCAAACCTACCCCGAACTTTACGGCGCCAGGCGTGCGCGGCTCGTCGTCATCGGATCGAAGTCGGAAGGCGCTTCAGGATCGAAGCAGCCTCCTTCCAGCCTGGCGCAGCACCGCGCAGCCGGCGTCTACGCGCGGCTGCGCGCGCAGGCTGGGTGCAACGGTGGTCCGGAATGCCTGAGGTGGCCTCGATGCGTGCTTGAACTTCCGGCTGCTGGTGAGGATTGCATCGCGGGTGAGGCGCCCGAACTGCACGAAGTCCTGGCGCATGTGCGGGCAGCCTCCCGTTGACGAGCATCCCCAGCTTTCTGGCGTTTACGCCTTCTAGCAGCACCACAGTCATGGCACATTCCAAGGACTGTTTCCGGTGGCGCTCTGTTGGGGGTTTGCGCCTTTGAGCAACACCACAGTCATGGCGACTGTTTTCGGTAACGGCTTTGTCTGGGGTTTGCGCCTTGGGGCAACACCACAGTCATAGCACATTCCAGGGACTGTTCTCGGTAACGGCTTTGTTTGCGGCTTGCACCGTTGAGCAACACCACAGTCATGGCACATTCCAGGGCCTGTGTTCGGTGACGACTTTGTTTTGGGTTGCAGCCTCTGAGCAGCACCAGAGTCGGGGCACATGCTTTCGGTGACAGCTTTGGTTGCGGTTGGTCAGGGCACATTCCAGGGACTGTTTTCGACGGCTTTCTTTGCGGTTTGCTCCTTTGGGCAAAACCACACTCATGGCACATTCCACGGAATTCTGTTTACGGTTTGCGCTTTGGAGAAACACTACAGTCATGGCACATTCCAGGGACTTTTGTCGGTAACGTTTCAGGGCTGTTTTCGGTAGCAGGGGTGTGCCGTTTGATGAACAACACCACAGTCATGGCACGTTCCGCCTTTGGGCAGCACCGCAGTAAAGGCACATTCCAGGGACTGTTTTCTGTGACGGCTTTGGTTGCGGTTTGCGCCTGTAAGCAACGCCAAAGTCAGGGCACATACCACGGACCTCCTTCGGAAACGGCTTTGTTTGGGGTTTTGAACTTATGCGCAACACCACAGTCATGCCACATGCCAGGGATTTTTTGGAAACGGCTTTGTTTGCGGTTTGGCGCTGACTTGAAACCATCACAAAACGGCCCATACCCACGATGTGTCCGTTACATGCAATTTTTTGGAAGATTGGACACTCAACGTCACGAGCCTGCAGCTGATGTTTTTGAGCTTAAGCAACAGCCGGTCGTCAGCATGATTTTCCTAATCGTTGTTTGGACGTGTGAGCCCGTAAATGTGCACCGAAAGTGCACAGGGCATCGCATCTGCAATTCTGCTTGGGTGCGAAATCCTCTCGGCAAATAAATCACATTCGGACGACCTCTGAGTCGAGCTTGCACATGCGCACCATCAGCGTCAGCAGTTTGACAGACAATCGCCGTCGGGTTGCAAACCAGCGTAGCAATCTAGCGCCCGCGATGCTTCTCAAGTGTGATGGGTCGACCGTGCAACTGGTCTTCCTCTACAAGCCGGCCATATACGTCACGCAGGTTGTCGCCGTGTGCCACCACTATGCGCGCTTTGAATCGGTGCTGGGATTGATCGAGTTCGTCGTGCTGCGTCGTGTCTCGTACTCAGGCTCCCAAGTCCGCTTCGACGCATGGTTTGCCACCCCTTACGGACATTGCATGGACAAAGAGCTAGTGCCTCGACTTCGCGGACCCGCCTCATCTGTCAGCGGATTTGTAGGTTCCGAGGAAACACTGTCACGTGACCATGCGATGTTGCCACTCTTGTGAAGCAGGAATTGGCTGAGATTGGGCTTCGAACGATACAGCACACCGGATGTGAAGCTCGCAGCCAAAGATGTGTCAAGCATGAGCGAACCAGGTCAATTTGCATCAAATTGTTGGACGTACGTGGGGGCGGTACACCACAAAATGGACAAAAAGACAGAATGTGGCCTTGCATCGCTTGATGGGATATTGAGCAGCGACTCACTCCTCCGCATTCAGTTTGGTTCTCAATCCTGTTGATGTGCAGCGACGCACTGTGGGTGGACTTTGATTGGGCGACACATCCTGCCGCACCCAACCGCGGATGCTTTCGCGGACGATGGACTGGGCAGACTGTTTGGTGCCGGATCCCTTGGCACAGCGGGTGGTTTTCATCAGAAGAAAAGTCGCACCTCCGCCACCCAGGTCGCCGTTACCTATGCACTTGCGTTTGTCCCTGCTGGCACTACAGGAACGTTTTCTCAGGTCCCGAGATTGAAACAGATTTGCCTTCCATCTTCTTTTTACATGTGTGCTGCTTGGGTGACAGCGAAAGGCCCGTGTAAGGCCCCTTGCCCGCTGCGGGCAGACCAGAACCGAACGAGTGAACGAGTCAACGAGCGGAGTGTCGACCGCAAGCTGTGCGCCCTTCCGAAGTGAGAATCTCTTGGTGAGGGCCTCCATCCAACGGTCCTCTTGGCACTAGAAGAACACCCCGCAAAACCACGGGCCATGCATTTTTTGTCGCCAGCGATGAGCAATCAATCTGTGTTGCACTCGTGAGTTAAGTCCCTTGGCATGGCCAGGCAGACCTCCACGCATGTGCAAATCTGTACCCGTGCCCTTTTGGGCAAAGTGCCTGAAGCAGAGTTTCCGCAACGAAAGCAAAGGCTTTGATCGTGCTCTGGAAATTCCGCAGACATCCACAGACCCGACAATAAGCAAGGCTCAGGCTAGCTCTGTCAGTAAACTAACTACACGTAAACCCAGCCTACCGGCATCACCATCAATGAGCTATCCTGGCCCAGAAAACTGCGCAGCTTGCTGCCATGCTGGCATTCGAAAACTGTGAAATGCACGATGCCGCACGTTTCGTGCTTTGCACTGTTGCTCCTGCTACTGTGGTATACATGTATGTGGTATTCTGTTTACGTAAGGCTACAGGCGGCCCTGAGCTTCACAGAACGAAGCGAAGTGATGGAGAGATGGTCTCAAAGAGTCTCTTCAAATAATTTCTCAAATCTCAAGTTGCCACTCCCCCTTCCTTGGCCAACGCCTGAAACTTGGAAGGACGCTTGAGCAGTTCCTGCAGAAGTACACAAGAGTACACGAGCATGCAACATGCAACACTCGGCTACGCGGCCACATCGCTTGGCTGCCAGTGTCCTGCGGCGAATCGAACTCCACAACCGCACCACCTTCGAAGACCGCCACCTTGTCGTAGTCCATCCTGTTGGCAGTAGCAATATCGTAGCAGCGTGAGATGCGTGACATCTTCAGGCTGGCTTGGTTTCGGGCAAGGTCTGGATTCGGTGAGCGATGGTGATAATGGTGCACTTGAAGTCAGACCTGATGACCTGCCACGCGCGTCATGCATCGAATCTTGCAAGATGCATAATGAGCATCTGGGACATTGTGGATACGAGTCAGACATTTTTTCTCGAACAGCCTCGCGCCTTCTGAATCGTTTGATCTGTCTCCTGGTCCAACGCACTCGTGGCCTGGGTGACCACCGATTTCCCTCCTCTTTTCCGCCAAAAGTGAGTCCAGTATAGTCCAGTCAGAGTGCCTCGTCGAGAAGGAGGAGCCCGCCCTTCTCCTCTGAAGGCGCTTCTCTTTTGTTCTGTTTTTTGGGCTCTGCAAGGATGCTCGAGAGTTATCTCGAGTTGGGCTCGCGGGATAAAATTTCAGAAACAGCCCAGATGCTGGATGCGACGTCTTCCTTGTAAGTTCAACGCACTGCAGCTGTTCACTCCTAGTTCAGTCCAGTAGGACTTAAATGCTGCTCTCCTGTCGGCGCAGCAGCGCGCGGGCCAAGCACAGCAGCTGCAGCTCACCCACGGAATAGTTGCCGCCGCCCTCTTCCACCTTCCACAGCAAGGCAGAGACTCAGAGACCAAGGCACTGGCGGAAGGCTTCAAAAGTTCTGAAAAGTAGCATCGAGTTCTCTTCAGGAAACTCAGGAGCCTTGCTGTCCAGCCCTCCAGCACTTTCGATTCTGGGCCTCAGCTGTGAGGGCACACCACATCATCATGGGCCATGAAGAAGCACGACTTTTTTTCTTTCATGAACAAGGCGTCGAACTATATTCATGTCGTCGTCGTATCAGAGCCAAATCATTCACAACTCATAATGAGCGAATCTCTGCTGAGGAGCCGTAATTGGCTTTTCTCCAGGACCTGGCACACTGGCACCGCAAGGGAGGGAGATGACGGAGATGACTCCGTATGCGAGGGAACGTGAGGAAAAAAGGTCATGAAGATAGGGAAGTTGGCAAGAGAAGTTCTGAACTCAAGGATGCTCTGGGCATTGTTGGGCATGTGCTTTGCCATGCCTCCCACAGCTCCTCGGCGTTGCTTTGGGGGCTTTACCTTTACATTTTTAACATTCTCACGCACCGATTGGCCCTTCTCGGCATAAGCACTCCTCATCGGACTTGGCACCGAAAGGATCCAAGTTGAAACGGACCTTGAAGCTTTGTTCTAATTAATTGTTGATTCACGCGTGAGCCCTGACTCAAGCTTTGCAATCGTTGAGCGAGCAGTGGAATTTTGCAATGGAATGCGTTGGAATGTGCATTTTTGCAGAATGCGCAGGCCGCCGGCCGTTCCCGTGAGGATGGCCGGATCCTGCACCAAACGAGCGAGTCGCCACGGTCGCTACATGTGAAAAACATGTGAGAGACATGCAGATGGCCTGAGGGATCATGGCGACCTGCTGACAGGTCAGTGCTGGTCAGTGACTCAGTGAATGCGACGGGTGGAGCCTGCCAGCTGCTAGCAGCACACCCTAGCGCACCTTGCTTCGGAGGTCGTGGAGACCGATCTGGCTAATGTCGACGTCGTCCACAGTGATGGAGCCAGCCTGCGA